ACTTACAATTATGAACATATAGTGATAAAATTATGAACATAGAGCTCTAAAATTGTGAACATAGAGCTTTGAAAATTATGAATGTACAATTATAGAGTTATGAATGTACATTTATGGAGTTATGAATGTACAGTTATGGAGTTATGAATGTATAGTTATAGAGTTATGAACGTACAGTTATGGAGTTATGACTGTACAGTTATTAATAATATAGTAATAAAATTATGAATATATACTCATATAACAAAGCGGTCTGAAATTAAAAAAAAAAAAGAAAAAAAAAAAAGAAAAAAAAAAAAAAAAAAGATAACAGTGCCTAACGGCACTGTTACCCGTGTCCAGCAAGCATGCTGGACACGGGTCCAACGCATAACGATTGTTGCCTATGCTGTACGTGAATCGCAACTTCCAGACTAAAGGGGAAATAGCTATTATTCCTTAGTTTTCAGGAATAGACTAATTTTTTTTATTTAATTACTACTTTATCTTTAATTAAATTTAAAATATACTACTTTACCCTTAATTAAACTTAAAATATGTTTAGATTACAACACTTTCAATCAATTGTACACATCTCTTTGGCATTTTTCTAAATTTATTTTTTATATATTGTTTCTATGGTGCATGTATATGATGTTTAATAAAATTCAAATTAATACTGAATATTCATAGTAAGTAATCCATGTTCTTAGGCAAATTAAATTAGCCGTGCATCAACAAATTTGTAGCAATGGGTTCACACAACATTATTTTCAAAGGATTATTGTACAGTAAATTAATCAACAATAAAAAATACTCATAAATTGTTAAATTGTGCAAGTCTTTACTTTTATGCAGCCATGACTTCTCCAAGAGGTTAGGTTAGGTTTCTCTCTCTCTCACACACACACACACACACACACACACACACACACACACACACACACACATATATATATATATATATATATATAAAGATCCAGCACAGCAACATATGGGCAATCGTTATATCCTACACCACGGCGCACATAGCACTGTGCGCCGCGCACCTCCCAAAACGACGTCGTTTTGGGGTAGTGTTGGGAGGCGCGGTAGGAAGTTGCTGAGATTATGTGTATTTGTTCACAACATTATGTGTATTTGTTCACAACGTTATGTGTATTGGTTCATACAGTTATGTGTATTTTTTATACAATTATGTACATTCTTTTTATACAATTATGTACATCCGAATAAGAAAATTTGTGTGTATTATGTTAAGAGTTGATGTGTATTATGTTAAAAGTTTATGTTTATTATGTATTATGTTAGATTATGTGTATTATCTTTTAAAAAGAGTATGTATATTTTGTTATATAATTATGTATATTCATGTATAACATTATGTGTATTCTAGTATAACATTATGTACATTCTTGAACAGCGGGTTTTTTTTAAAGAAAAAACTACTGCCATTCACTGGGGCAGGAAATTTCAAAAAAAAAAAAAAATTAAAACGACGTCGTTTTGCATCTGGGAGCATAGTGCAACGCGCGCCGTGGTGTAGGATATAAATTGCCACATATGGGCAATTGGGCCTATGCTCTTTCTAATTGTCTTATTGAGGGCTAAATTGGTCCAATTACTTTAAACCAAAAAGAATAATTGAATATATTACATAGGGAAAATGTACAAGTAGACTATTGAACTATTTGAGGATAGTAATTAAGCCACCGAACTTGAATAAACTCTAAATTGATCAATGAATTTGCAAAAAAAAAAAATACAATTAGCATTTTTAGTAAGTTATCAACAAATTTGTGATGATTAAGATAATAATACTAATAAACTAAAAAATAAAAAATCAACCTGACATCCTAATTATCACAAACTTGTTGATAATTTATAAAAAAAAAACACTAATTGCACTTTTTTTCAGGTTCATGATTTGTACTTTTTTTTTTTTTCCATAATCTGAGTTCTCGACTAAAATTTTTGTCGCCAATTCATCGAACAACAAGAAGTCAAATTCAATCATTCTACTCTAGCAAAAAAGGACCAACCGGGGTACGGTAAAATTTTAATTGATAATATGATATTTTTTTAATATTTATTCAAACAACATCAATAGGATTTTTATATCTACAATTCTAAATAACTTTTTTAACAACTATTATTTATATATAAGAATTATTTACAAAAATGTCCAAATTAAAATATTTCACAAACCTCAATTTTAATATGAACGACTCTGCTCTAACTATATTTGTTTATTCTTATAAATATAAAAATTTATATTTTATTTAAAATTAAATTGAATTTCTATATTATATCTTAAAATAGTAGGCTATTTTAGGACGAATGATATAGTTTTAAATTTTGTACTACTATCAATCAACAATAGTTTAATAAATAATTGTTAATTTTTTTTTTTAGAAATTTAAATTAATTAAAAACATAATTAAAGATTATTCGTGCTTTCCTGAAACAATTGAGATTAGAATATTACCAACAATCTCTTTAAATAGCCTTCAAGATGATTTATGGACTGAGAGCTATGGAGTTGGTTGGTGGTGATGATGCCAAAACCATGCTGCAGCCCGGTTTTCCCCTACCGCAATCGCACCCTTGGCTCTTTCTTTGTACATATCAACAAGAAGGTATACTATACAGTATCACACAACAATGCTATTACAAAATTGATTATTCTTTCATGTATAACAAGTATGAAAGGGCTGACACATGTAAGGATGGATGGATGGTGCTATATGATTGCGACAGTTTCGACGTCTTACTATACTTTTCAATGTCTATTCAAATAAAAGGGTGCAACTTCCAAACTTGAAATCAGACACATATTTCGCTTACCTTTCATCTAGTCCTCATGATCCTTCTTGTTATGTTATATTAACTAAAGATGACACCGACTATGATATGGTTATCAATTTTTGCAAGATCGGTGAAAAGGCATTTGTGACACAAAGAATTTGTAGAGATACTTTAATACAATCATTCACAAGTTTTGGTGGAAATTTGTATGGGTTGATGAAATATTCTACCACTTTAGTATGTGTTGAATTCAAGGGTCAAAGTGCACAATTTCAGAAAGTGATCAGTGGTAATTTATTTGGTGAGTCATCCTCAAGACCAAAATGGCGTGGTCTATTTACTAAAGGTTATATTACAGAAAGTTGTGGTGAAATATTATTAGTTATCAAAATTTACTTTGCAAAAAGGTATTGCCAGGTTGAAAATATACGAGTCTTTAGAGCAGATTTGTGCACAAGAAAATGGGTGGAGATGAAGACTATAGGAGAACGTACCATTTTCATAGGATATGTTGGAGGCATATTTTGCATTAATAACAATAATGCAAATGTGAGAAAAAACTGCATATACTTCATTGAAAAATATGATAGAAACATGTATATTTTTGATTTGGATGATAGGAGTGTTTCTATCAACCTTCCTTGCCCTAATGTTGGCAAGAAAAATATTATATCACGATGGATACTATGATTTTGTAAGTTATATTTTAATTCAAATATTAAATATTAAATAAAATTATATTTTCGATATATATTATTTGTGTTTAATTTTATGATGTTGAGGTAAAATATATATTAAGTTTTTTTTTTCTAGCTTCATTCACTCGTTTTATCATCAGATGTTCTCATCTAAAATAGTTATAAGATGTTATCAATGATGTTTGCTATCTATAATATTCTTTTATCTTGTAAAAAGAGGAAAGAAATGTATTATTATGACAGTAAAATTGGTGTATGACTATCTTTAAAATGGCTATGACTGATTGGGGGAAGTCATGATTGTAGTGTCTTGAGAGTTGAGACATGATACCCTCTCTGGTCATAAACTTTTACTAGCAATTAATAATGAAAGTTACATTGAAACATCAAAGTTGAGTTGTGAGAAAAAGCTTCTTAATTGTAAGCAGATTGCTATGGAAATACTTAAATAAATGCCTTCACATATATCAACTATGATTGGTTTTTTGTCCCTTTAATTTGTTTTCTCTGTTTTGTTTAACTTTCCAAATCATTAACCGTCCCTCTTGTATTTCTAATATGCTAGTGTTTGGAACTTTTCAGCCTCTTGTTTTTTTTTTTCCCTCTCCCTTGGCTATACAGAGTTTCTAGTTCTAAGATGTTAACTGCACTTGTTACTGCTTACTCTGTCTATATGTTTGCATCTTTTCAAAGATTGAACGGAATCTAACTGCAAAATTTTCCTCTTTCTATTTTTTTTTTCTTTTGTTGATAACATAATTATGCATATTTGAACTGTGGGATATGGCTAATTCAGAGATGATAGATAATTTGGTGTTTGAATTTAAAGGGCCCTTTTTGTGCCATAAAATCTCACCAAAACTGAAGGGACAAAGCGTCCTCAGAAAAATCAAAGATGTCCCTTCTGTGCTTCCACAATCATACAATGACTTGTATAGCACAAAGGGCCCATATATCTTTCTTGCACATGCTTCTGCCTTCCTTTATTTCCAGAATGAAATGAATATAAATAAAAATCACTTGTTTATGTATTTTAGTTCATTGTCAACCACAATCAATTCATCCCTAAGCTAACTTTAAGTCTCTAAAATACCGGCCTTAATCACTCTTTTTTCTCTTCACCATTAGGCATTTAAACTCAACCTTTAATTTTTGTAAATGGGAAAAAGGGTCACATTAGTTCTTAGTCCACTTCATACAAACCACAGAACATGCAACAGAAGTTAACAAGAGGATACTAAACCTTAATATATATCATGTCTTGGGTTACTAAGAATATTAAGCATTAGGTATTGTGGACAATGATGAACCATAAAAAAGTATTTCCATTTAACCCTTTATACAAACTATAAAGTATACAGCTTAGAAGTTACTGATGAGATCTCATTGAATAAAGCCAGGGATTCCTAAGATTGTTTTTTTTTTTTTTTTTGCAAAGGCTAAGATTGGTTATGTTCTTGTATATACCCTATTAGCTGTCTGATGTACTAAATATCATTTGCAGAGGACCCCCAATCTCATAAGTATTTTCATTGTTAATTAATGGATTTGTAATGAACATGACAAGAATTTTCATTGTAAGAGTTCTGTTGCAGTATAGTCACAAAGTCTAGCTCTAAAGCATATTGAGTCATGAAACAACTTCTTTTAGTGCCTCAACAATCATATTGAAGACTTGGAATCAACATGTACTAAGCTACATTTAGTTTGTTATCATTTACAAAAATAAAAAAATGCTGACAATCAAGTCAGAAAACAGCCAATTGCTGGTTCCTCCCTTCTTGATATAAAACTGAGGAGCAACGACTCGAAGTAACTGAAAGAAGCAAAGCATTCTGAAGCTCGTCTCTTGCACCGTGGGAGAGAAGAGATATGATGTACTCCAAGAAGATTGCATCGCACAGCAATGTAATAGGTCCATCACTTGGAAGCCCAAATTCTTCTTCAGACAATACTAATAGTTGCCTGATGATTTCGTTGTCGAGAAAAGCTAGGGGAACCACAAACCGCTTTTGGTCAGCTGTGTAGATAACGAAATGCCCCTTGCTAACCACAGACGATGTACTACAACTGTCTGTGCCCTCGTTTTGCTTTGGAAAGGAAATCCTCTTCCTCCTGATGGCAGCAAATGTCTGCCATTTCTTGGCCAACTTGATGAGCTTCCTGAGACTGATCATGACGCTTCTTTTAGAGAATGAGGTTTTGAAGAGAGAACTTAATATATTGGATGATTTTCTAAGGCTTGGTGATGAAAATGTATAAGGAAGAGATATATTTATATTGAGGAGCTGAGGCTGGATTGAGACTTTAAGTTTGCTCAAAATCAGATAAGGCACAACCATGTGCCACTGACTCATATGGGACCTTTATGTTGTGTACCAACAGATAGTTGTGATATATATTCGATGTATCAACTTAATTGGTTCTGAAATCATGGCTTCTGCAGAAGACACAATGAAAGGAAATGTGTCAAAACCAGCAAAGGAATTTATGAACATCTTACTGATATTTCTGGAGACTTGTCTGTGGTTTTGTGTGGATGTGCAAAAGCTGTCTAGTTATACAAACCACGGAACATGCAGCGACCTGTACGGGTTAACCAGAGGACGAGGGAATACGCAACTCGTATTAGCATTAGATATGGGAGGTTTGAATTGTGGATATGGCTAATTCTGCTGTTTGGGGAAGAACTTAATAAAGGGCCCTATTAGTGCCTTAAGAGCCTCATGTTATAGATCCATATAGCAGAATAGCCATCTATCTCACCACAGCACAAAGGGCCCATCTCACTTACTTCCACATGCTTCTGCTTTCCATTCTTACCAGATTGAAATGAATATAAATAAATCAATTCTTTATACATTTTAGTTCATCCCTATCTTTAAACTCTCTAAAATACCTTATTCGCTCTTTTCTCTCTTTCACATCTGCAAAGATAAACACCATGATAAGTTCCAAGAAGCTCATCAAGTTGGCTAAGAGATGGCAGAAATTTGTTGCCATTAGAAGGAAGAGGATTTCATTTCCTGGGAACAACAATGATGCAGAAAGTTGTAGTGCGTCATCTGCAATTAGCAAAGGTCACTTTGCAATCTACACAGCTGATCAAAAGCGGTTTGTTATTCCCCTTGTTTTTCTTGACAATGAAATCATCAGACAACTTCTACTGATATCTGAAGAAGAATTTGGTCTTCCAAGTGATGGTCCTATTACATTGCCATGTGACGCAGTCTTGATGGAGTACATTATTTCGCTTCTTAGCCAAGGTGTAGGCATAGAACTCCAAAATGCTTTGCTCACATCAGTTACTTCAAATCGGTGCTCCTCAACCTCAATGCATCAAGGGTGGAGAGATCAGCAATTTCTTGTCTTCTAACTTGGCTATCAAACTTTTTCTTTTCTTTGAAAAATCACTCAAACTTAGTTGTAAGTTAATTCATTTTGCAATGCAGAAGAGCATTATAGTGTAACTTTAGAAGATTAATTCATTATACAACTTTCAAAGTTTCAGTCATTTTTTTGATCCATTTCATACAAACAACAGAATATGCAGCAGATCCCATTAACTGTCTTGTATACTATTTACTGTATGGTCATCCTTATGCACTTTCCATCCATTCTTCGTGCAAAGAGGGCCATCATGGTCGGAAGAACTCCATGGATACAACGCCATATAAAATTTAGGACCTTAGGAGGAACCTTTAATTTAAATCCCACACTTTTCTCCAGTTAGGACAGACCGGCTCACCATCTTGCAGTGTATTCAAAACTCTGTATCCATGCTTCACTGAATAATGGGGATTTTGGTAACCTACTCAACATCTCGTGCTTCGAATAAACCAGTCAGAACAGATAAATCCCAGTCTTTCGTTTCTTGGTTGCAGTGTTTGTCACAAAATCCAGCTCTAATGCATTTTGAGTCATGAAGAAATGAAACAACCTCTTTTAGTTCCTTGAAAATCATCATATTCAAAACTTAAAATAATCTAAAAGCTCATAAATAAGCTCTGCAAAACAGAGCTCATATATGCTTTTCTTGTTTAATTACAGCTAATACATTTCCTTTTGGCTCTGTTTGCCAGAGCTTATCAAGACCAAATAAAAGAACTCAAGAAAAAAATTAATTTTCTTCAAATAATGTGTGAAGGGGCAAAATCTAAGTCCAAATGTTCACTATTTACATACTAAATATTCATAATTTACTTTTAAAAAATTCACAATTTGTATACTACGAACACATAATGTGAACATATATGCAACTGATTACCTTATTTTGTATTCACAAGTTCATCTTTTCAAATACTGCAATCACACAATATTAACATATTAGGATTTGATGACTCTGTATTGTATTCATAAATTACATGTATTTTGACTTAGAAACACAATTTATATTCTAGAATTTAAGTATGGGATGAATTGCTATTGTTTGATGATGAAAATTCATATGCAAGTGGTGTATATATTTATATGGAGGAGGTCCAAGACAGACTTTATGTACATAAAATCAGGGATAGGATTTGTTGTTGAAAAATCAGGGAAGGCATACCCATATGCTACTTAAGGAAATGGGACCTTTATGTTGTGTAACAACAGATATATAGTTGTGATATATATTCAATGTATCAACTTAATTGGTTCTGAAATCTTGACTTTGCAGAAGACATGATGAATAGCAATATGTCAACACTGGGAAACGATTTTGTGAACATCTTACTGATATTTCTGGAGACTTCTCTGTGGTTTGGTAGGTCATCAAAAGCTGTCCAGTTATACAAACCACAAAGGTGTAGCGACCCGTATGAGTTAACCAGAGGACTGAGGTCATATGAAACTTGTACTGGCATTAGATATGGGACCTTTGAATTTAAAGGGCCCTTTTTGTGCAATAAAATCTCACCAAAACTGAAGGGACTCCAAAGCCTCAGAATAAGACTCCTCAGAAAAATCAAAGATGTCCCTTCATGTTTTCAATTCGGATAGCACAATGGAAGAAACATATAATACTATTCCATATGATGGCTTAGAATTACTACAACATTTCAATTTAATGAATCAACTATCTCTAACTTTGTCATTTACAAATAAATAGTGGCATTGCAGTCATCAGCAAATTAGTAATGGCTGATTTCTCCATCCATGATGCAATGAAGCCGAGGAACATCGGTTTGAAGTTACTGATACAAGCAAAGCATTCTGGAGTTCTGTGCTTACACCTCTGCTAAGTAGTGAAATGATGTAATTCATGAACACTGCATCGCATGGTAAAGTAATAGGTCCATCACTTGGAAGCCCAAATTCTTCTTCTGACATTTCCAACATTTGTCTGATGATTTTGTTGTCAAGAAAAGATAGGGGAATAACAAACCGCTTTTGATCACCTGTGTAGATAACAAAATGACCTTTGGCAACTGCTGATGATGTACCACAACCATCCACTTCCTCGTTCTGTTCTGGAAATGAAATCCGTTTCCTTCTGATCGCCACAAATTTCTGCCATTTCTTGGCCATCTTGATGAGTTTCTTGGAACTGATCATAGTGATGGCTTTTGGGGATTGTGAGAAAAGAAAGTAAAACATTTTGTAGAGAGACCTTAGAGTATGGGATTAATTGCTAGAGTGGGATGATTAAAATTCATTTGCAAGTGATATATATAATGAGGAGGCCAGAATATATAATGAGGAAGCCAAAAATGTGGTGGATAGAATTTCTTGTTGAAAATCAGGAAAGAGTACTTAAGGAAATGGGACCTTTATGTTGTGTACCAACAGATAGTTGTGATATATATTCAATGTATCAACTTAATTGGTTCTGAAATCAAGGCTTCTGCAGAAGACACAATGAAAAGAAATGTTTCAAAACATGTAAAGAAATTTGTGAACATCTTACTGATATTTTTGAAAACTTGTCTGTGGTTTTGTGTGGATGTGCAAAAGCTGTCTAGTTATACAAACCACGGAACATGCAGCGACCTGTACGGGTTAACCAGAGGACGAGGGAATACGCAACTTGTACTAGCATTAGATATGGGAGGTTTGAATTGTGGATATGGCTAATTCTGCTGTTAGCAGCAAGAATTTAAAGGGCCCTATTAGTGCCTTAAGAGCCTCAGAAAATTATAAGATGTCCCTTCATGTTGTAAATCCAGATAGCACAATGGAAGAATCATATTGTCCTTTGTAAGCTTCCACAACCATACAATGACTTGTGTTGCCCAAATAGCCATCTATCTCACCACAACACAAAGGGCCCATATCACGTATTGCACATGCTAATGCTTTCCTTTATTTCCAGAATGAAATGTATAAATAATTCAATTCTTTATGCATTTTAGTTCATCATCAACCAATACCACTTCATCCCTATCTTTAAACTCTCTACAATACCTTATTCACTCTTTTCTCTCTTTCACATCTGCAAAGATAAACACCATGATAAGTTCCAAGAAGCTTATCAAGTTGGCTAAGAGATGGCAGAAATTTGTTGCCATTAGAAGGAAGAGGATTTCGTTTCCTGGGAACAACAATGATGCAGAAAGTTGTTGTGCATCATCTGCGATTAGCAAAGGTCACTTTGTAATCTACACAGCTGATGAAAAGCGGTTTGTTGTTCCCCTTGTTTTTCTTGACAATGAAATCATCAGACAACTTCTAGTGATGTCTGAAGAAGAATTTGGTCTTCCAAGTGATGGTCCTATTACATTGCCATGTGATGCAGTCTTCATGGAGTACATTATTTTGCTTCTTAGCCAAGGTGTAGGCATACAACTCCAGAATGCTTTGCTCACATCAGTTACTTCAAATCGGTGCTCCTTGACCTCAATGCATCAAGGATGGAGAGATCAGCAATTTCTCGTCTGCTGACATGGCTGTCAAACTTTTTTGTTTTATTTTTTTGGGAAAATTACTCAAACTTAGTTGTAAATTAATTCATTTTTGCAATGCAGAAGAGCATTATAGTGTAACTTTAGAAGATTAATTCATTATACAACTTTCAAAGTTCCAGTCATTTTGTTTTTCATCCAGTTTATACAAACAACAGAATATGCAGCAGACAGCAAGTTTACAAGAGGATTATTATAACTTATTACCTTCTCTTTGGGCTGTTAAAATTATTAGGCATTAGGTGTTATGGACAATCATGAATAATACAATTTTATTAGGTATACTGCATAAAAGTTACTGAGATTCCTAAACTTATTACCATTTTTTCATTAGCTGTCTTATGTACTATATGCATTATTATGAACTTAATGAATTCATGAAAAACAGGACAAGAACTCTAACTGAAAGAGTTTGGTTGCAGTATTTGTCTCAAAGTCCAGCTCTAATGCATTTTGAGTCATGATGAAATGAAGCTACCTCTTTTAGTTCCTTGAAAATCATCATATTCAAAACTGAAAGGTAGATGTACAAAGCTACATTTAGTTTGTTATCATTTACACACACAAAAAAAAATAAAAATGTTGACTATCATGTCAGAAAACAGCCAATTGTTGGTTCCTCCATTCTTGATATAAAACTGAGGAGCAACGACTCGAAGCAACTGAAAGGAGCAAAGCATTTTGAAGCTCATCTCTTGCACCACGGGAGAGTAGTGATATGATGTACTCCAAGAAGATTGCATCGCACGGCAGTGTAATAGGTCCATCACTTGGAAGCCCGAATTCTTCTTCAGACATCACTAATAGTTGCCTTATGATTTCGTTGTCAAGAAAAGCTAGGGGAACTACAAACCGCTTTTGGTCAGCTGTGTAGATAACAAAATGCCCTTTGCAACCCACAAACAATGTACTACAACCGTCTGTGCCCTCATTTTGCTTTGGAAAGGAAATCCTCTTCCTCTGATGATAGCAAATTTCTGCCATTTCTTGGCCAACTTGATGAGCTTCCTGGGATTGATCATGGTGCTTCTTTTAGAGATTGAGATTTTGAAGAGAGAACTTATTAATGTATTGGATGATTTTCTAATGCTTGGTGATGAAAATGCAATGTATAAGGAAGATATATATTTATATCGAGGAGCTGAGGCTGGACAGAGACTTTAAGTTGCAGATTCAATTATTGTTGAAAATCAGGTTTGGCATAGCCATGTGCCACTTACTCATCATATGGGACCTTTGTGAAGGGAACTGTTTTTGAATTCTACCTATAAATCTATGTGATATTTCAAGAGACTTGTCTGTGGTTTGACAGACTGAAAACACAAAAGCTATGGCTATTAGGTATTTAGACTTCACATTTATATGAGAATATCTGTGAGGAGGCCAGAAATGTGGTTTGGTGTGGATGTCCACTTGTACAAACCACAGAACATGTAGCGACCTGTATGGGTCAACCAGAGGACGGGGGAATACGCAACTCATATTAGCATTAGCTATGGGAGGTTTGAATTGTGGATATGGCTAATTCTGCTGTTTGGAGGAAGAACTTAAAGGGCCCTATTAGTGCCTTTAAAGCCTCAGAAGAATATAAGATGTCCCTTCATGTTGTAAATCCAGATAGCACAATGACTTGTGGTGCACAAATAGCCATCTATCTCACCACAACACAAAGGCCCCATATCACTTATTGCACATGCTTCTGCTTTCCTTTATTTCCAGAATGAAATGAATATAAATAAATCAATTCTTTATGCATTTTAGTTCATCATCAACCACTAGCAATTCATCCCTATCTTTAAACTCTCTAGAATACCTTATTCACTCTTTTTCTCTCTTTCACATCTGCAAAGATAAACACCATGATAAGTTCCAAGAAGCTTATCAAGTTGGCTAAGAGATGGCAGAAATTTGTTGCCATTAGAAGGAAGAGGATTTCATTTCCCGGGCACAACAATGATGCAGAAAGTTGTAGTGCATCATCTGCAATTAGCAAAGGTCACTTTGCAATCTACACAGCTGATGAAAAGCGGTTTGTTGTTCCCCTTGTTTTTCTTGACAATGAAATCATCAGACAACTTCTAGTGATGTCTGAAGAAGAATTTGGTCTTCCAAGTGATGGTCCTATTACATTGCCATGTGATGCAGTCTTCATGGAGTACATTATTTCGCTTCTTAGCCATGGTGTGGGCAAAGAACTCCAGACTGCTTTGCTTGCTTCAGTTACTTCAAATCGGTGCTCCTCAACCTCAATGCATCAATGGTGGAGAGATCAGCAATTTCTTGTTTGCTAACATGGCTGTCAAACTTTTTTTTTCTTTGAAAAATGACTCAAAACTTAGTTGTAAGTTAATTCATTAATGCAGAAGAGCATTATAGTGTAACTTTAGATGATTAATTCATTGTAGAACTGTTCTGAATTTTACTTATAAATCTGTGAATAAGTGATATTTGAAGGGACTTGTCTGTGGTTTGCCAGACTGAAAACACATAATATATGGGTATTAAGCATTTAGACTTCAAATTTGTGTAAATTTCCTCTATGGGAATATCTGTGGCTCTAAGGATTTTAAATAACAAAGTCTAATAAAAATCTCACACAAACTATGAGAATCCAAATTGACCATTGCCCAGCAGAGTATATATATATGATCATGGTTGACTACCCAACTGACTCTAAATAAAACCATTTTTTTTTTTTTAATTTCTTCTTAGATATAACCTCAATTTATTTGCCATCTAGCATATTACTACAACTTAGATCAAAAGTCCATCATTCCATTGTTGATCGGTAATCATCACCTGTTGCATCATCCCTCCATAGATATGTAAGATTTTATTTAGAGTTATATAGTTGCAAGCCTGAAGAATTATATATATATATATATATATATATATATATATATATATATATATATATATATAGTTTGCCATTAATAATAGCAAATTATATCGTGCACTGCGGTGCATAATCGATTATGCACTGCGCATCAAAACAACATCGTTTTGTTTAATGAAAAGAAATGACATCAATAATAATAATAATAATAATAATAATAATAATAATAATAATAATAATAAGCAAAGCCACTTAATAATAATAATCATATGAAGCAAAGCGAAGCAAACACATGTATTTGGCAAGTAAAGCAAGGATAAATTTGTCCATTCATAATCTTCTTTTCTTTCCATCCGGCATGCAATAGAAATTCCTAGGGGGAGAGGTGGTAATTAGAATTCCATGAAATGAGAGAATTGGAATTTCGTGAATTAAATTGTAATTCTCTCCAAACAAACAAAAGAATTTTAGAAGCTAAGGAGTTAGGTAGAAACGAAATCATTCGAAATTCCCAGGTACCAAAATACCTGTTACGATTTAATAATCTAAAATGATCATAGGTTTGTAAACACGGAAGTGAAAATTCAATCACCCTAATCTACCTATAATCATATCTTAGTGACCGAACTTTTAAATCTCTATTCACAAAATATATGTCATCTCCTACATGTAGGTTAAAATTTTAAGGACCCACTTAAAATTGAACCTAAACGAGGTGGCCCTACACATACTTATTAGTTATTAAAAAAAATAAAAATAAAAATAAAACTAATAGAGTACTAGTACAAAATCTAAAAAAACAATATTCCTCTAATTCTCTCACTCTATAACGTAACCATAGCCAACGTTAAGTTCTTCGCTGCTAATGTCTGGTTGTCTTTACAAATTACAATGCATCTTTTGTTGTGACAACCATCATCAGATCAGCTTCATTATATTCTACAACTTTCACCTAGTCCCACGTCAAAGCATCATGGGTTGCCCAACCTTTGTCACAAGCATGGTTGCAGTAGGCGTTAGGCGCTAGTCGGGCGTTCGGGCAGCGCCTAGCACCTAGGCAGGCACCAAAAAAACAGTAGCAGACTTGCAGTTTGACAATTTTAATGAGACTGTTTTCAACATTCAATCAAATAACACATCCAAATAAATGAAATAATGATAATTCATAAGTTATGACATTAAAACAATAAAACAATATTGAAAATTAAAAATACTCAAATATGAAATACTCAAATACTTCAATCATCCAAAGATTCAAAGTATCAAACTAGTCTACGAGTATGTATATATATATATATATATATATATATATATATATATATATATATATATAAGAAAAAAAAATTAGCAAGGTCGAGCTTATCGGGTTAACTCGACCGAAATGGACAAGTTAACTCGGCTAAGTTAGACGCTAGGCGGCCAAGTCGACCGAGTTAGGCGCTAGGCGGGCGCCTAGCTAGGGGGGAAATTGACACGGTCTAGGGGCACCTAGCGCCTAGACCGATTTTTGCAACCGTGGTCACAAGTCACAATCTAAAGCAAAGTCCTAAAATTAAAGCTAGCTCTTTAATCTATTGATCCAGGCTAGTATTTTTATTTTATTTTTACAAATTTTCTCATTTAATTTTACTCTTGTATTTTCAGTGGGTTGGTAGGGTGCAGCGGGGTGGAGTGGTTTGAGATTCCATGGCCCACAAAGATGGTTGGTTTTAGAAATCTGTGGGCTAGCCGTTTCACCCGGTTGATAGTATTACTTATGTTACTAAAGTTCAAATTAAATCAAAAGTACGACCATCACACTATTTGCATATTGTCAATTGCCTGTCGTCTCATTCCTCCATCGTCATTTAGGATTTAAATTAAAAGGATCATACATTTGTGAGATTCGGTATAACTAAGTTCTAAATCTTCATCATCAAGCTATATATCCCGTAGTCTCCTGTACTACAATAACTCATATCAAAAGTTCACCATACCATTGCGTCAATCACTAGTCACACCTTATTTCTCTATCACCGTTCAAGATTTAAATTAAAACAATCATAAATTGAGCCTACATAAAGTAAAATATCCACCTCCCCCTATATATAATCTCCGTCCTTAGCTTGAAACATAACTTCTAAATCTCCAACTTCGATTTATCCGACATAACTACTTCTAAATCTCCAACTTCGATTTATCTGTCATCTCCTAGATCAAACGACTACTAATCATTCATCGCATTTTTCTCCCTAACTAAGGTATCTTACTTTTTGTAAGAATTTAATAAATTATGATTTTAGATTTATGGTTCATCTCATTTTTTTAAATTATTATTTTGTGCTATTTGTTTATGATTCAACTAGAATTTTCAAGTTGCGACTTTATTTGCTTTTATGCTGGGTGTACCTTTCATTCATTTTGGTTCATTATATTAATTTTTTTTACTGTAATTTCCATTTTTAAATTATTAATTTTTTATATGGACTCGCAAATTAGAAATGTGATCTTCATGACTTCATGGATGAACTTTAAAAAAAAAAAAAAAAAACAAAGAATGCATAAAGATGAATTTTTAACCTTTTGAAAAAGATTCCATGTCGTTGATTCATTATATTCCCAAAAAGTACCTTCAGTTCTTACTTTAGTTGTTGTCAGCAAATGCTTTTTAACTGATTTTGTCTTTTCTTGCTTCAATTCTAAGAACTTTGTTTTCACCATGGCAACTTTAACTGGCATTAATGGTTTTCCAAATAGGCCAGGGTAGAATGATGTATGTGGTCAAATATATATAGTGGCCGATAGGGAGGAAAGTTAAACCAAGAATTTTCTTTCCTCCTCATGAATCAAATCACTGGTCACCGATGATTCTATTTTATCGTCAGGTCAATCTCTGTTCAGGTATTATCATTTACTTATGAATGAGTATTTATAAATAAAAAAAAAAAATCATTCAATTGATCAAAAAAAAAAAAGAAAGAGACACTTTTTTATTTGAAAAAATTGGGGAGGTGTGATCCAGGTCAGTTTAACGCCTGCCTTTCTTGGCGATTAAACGCCATCTTCACTTTATCCATTTCTAAATGCTCAATCACCCTCAAAGGAAAATCCATAAACTCAATCCAATTATATTTTCTCCATAAACTCAATCCAATCACATTTTCTTCTCGGCACCATATAAACTCCCTGAGGACGTGGGTGATCTTCGCCTCTCAGTCCCTAAAAATCCACTTTTTACCCTAGCTCGATCACTATCTCCTGGCACAGGCCAATTGGTTCCGGGCCGATAGTAATCCAATCAAGAACACTGTAATCCAAATCTTTTTCTCACCCGTATTTCATGCCCATTTAACTAAAAAGAAATTAGGTTCAAACATATTATACTTTTTTAGAAATTTCCGCAACTCAATTTCAATCATTAATGAGTGAATCATCCAAGATTTGACCTTTTTCAACTATATCAAACTTTTGTTTTCCTTTAACGCCCTTCTCATTCCTTACATATATATGATCTCGAACTCTATGTAATGTAGGTAATATATATATATATAACATGGACGCTGAAGGGCAACAATGCATTGGACAAAAGGTGCAGCAAGGTGGGGAAGAGAACAATAAGTGCAGTAGTAGGAGGTGGAAGCCGACAGTGGAGCAATTGGAAATGTTGGAAGAGCTTTACTACAAGCAGAGGATGATGAGGCCATCGACGGAGGAGATAGAGAGGTTATCGTTGAGGCTGAGGCAGCTGGGGAAGATTGAGGCCAAAAACGTGTTTTACTGGTTTCAGAACCAGAGAAACCGGGAGAGGCACCCTAGAAAACGCCCTGCAATAATATCCCCCGCCCCGCCTGCTGGAGATTTGCTGCATAACAATTATAATAATGCTGCACCAAAGCGTTCAAAGCCTCCACAAACCCTCTCTCTCTTCCCAATGCATGGCCATGCCGATAGTGTCTCCCTTGAGCTCACCCTTCGTCCCTACTCTCCGGAGTAAACCTTAAATTAGCTCATCTCATCTCATCTCATCTATTAAGCCTGCATATATATATATATATATATATATATATATATATATATATATATATATATATATATATATATATATATATATATATATGCTAGTTTGTCTGTCTGAATAGTCTGATACTCTCAACTATATATGTAAACTGTAAACATAATTAATATGGTAGTTTAATTCTCTATATGCATGTGTTTAATTAGCAGCTATATGGGGGCTCTTTTTTTGTTTTTTTTTTTGGTTATGGCATCAGACTTATATCACGAGCTTAGCTCAGTGGTTTAATATATAGGCAGTATTTGGAAGAAGAGATCAATATTAAGTAGACAAATTCCTTGTGCAAGACTTAATTTAAATTTGACCCTATCGGTTGAGCTCACGGTTGCAAAAATCGCACCTAGGCGCTAGGCGGTGCCCGACTGCGTCGAGGAATACCGAAATCGGCCTCCTCCGCGGACCGCGGCTGGGCGCCTAGGCGGCCAAACCCTTTTTTTTTTTTTTTTTTTATTTTTTAATAACAAATAACCCCCTAAAAAATAAAATAAAAATTAAAAATCAGACGCCTAGCGTCTTTTTCAACACTAGTTGAGCTACTGAGTTACGTTACTGTGATGTGATTTACCTAGCCTCCTCCCACATGTTCTGTCAGGTCGGAACGGGGCCCTTAGGATCGATGATTAAATCTTTTGGGAGAAGGTAGAGATCACAAGATACGACTAAACTTTCATTTAATATTATACGTTTCACAATATTATATCAAAATATATGACATGGTGGACAAATCTTCAATATCTCTCCTCACATGTTCTGTCGAGTCAGAACGGGACCCTTAGGATAAGGGATTAAATCTTTTGAAAAAATGTAGAGATCGCAAAATACGACTAAACTTTCATTTAATATTATACACTTCACATTATTATATCCAAATAAATGACGTGGTGAACAAATCTTGAGTTGAACTTCCATCAACAAATGAAATACTTATCTATATTGAATTATAGACGACCTAACTTAATATTAAACGAGGGTTAAACTATCTTTTATTTGTGATTAAATCATAAGCCGTCTTTCTTGATGCATGTCTTGTTAGTCATATCGATTAGCAAAGATTTTGTGATAGAATTCAAGTTAAATTGTGACTTTACAACATCATCTTTAATGAATTCCTATACATAATTATGTATAACTCCTATATATGTCCATTTGATTACCATTATAAACCTGGTGAAAGGCCCTAGCCATTAAAAAAAAAAAAAATCAATTTCTTATTTCAATTGAACACATTTTCAAAATGAGTTTTGACTAAAAAAATTGTGTAAAATAAAGTATGTACTACTTTTAACCAAACGCATTTACTAAATGCTTTTATTTTGGTGAAAAAAAACAATTGTTTGGGTAAAAAATTGATGAATGTGTTTCTTGGATCAAATGAAAAGGAAAACTTTTATTAAACACATTTAGAAAATGCATTTCATGTAGAAATCGATTTTTCTACAAGAAACACATTTTCAAAATGTGTTTGTTGCAGGAAAGAAAGAGAACATATGCATCACATATGGTTCAAATAGGTTTGCCTCATAATTAATTTTTAGATAAAAAAGAATCAATCTGAGAGTACAAAACTTGAATTATCAGTTTTACCCTTCATTTTAAACCTACTTCATGCCAAAGCTAACAGATACCATTTTGGCTTAAAATTTAATAATCGGCGGATCACTTTGGTTGCAATTAAAAGTCAAGGAACAATTTAAGAAAATGCTATAGTTAAGGACCATTTTAGAAATTAACTCATAAAAAAAAAAAAAAAAAAAAAAAAAAAAAAAAAACCTAAAGCTGGACTATTAGATGACTCAGCAGCTAGTGATGATGGACACTGAAAAGAGTTTACTAGAGTGATCAATTATGTCAATTTGTTTGCAGTAAGGTTGGAAAGTGACCCCAGTTTGCAGTTAGTTTTGCACTGGTGTTGTATGGCCAGTTATATTTGACCTCAAATTTGCATATTTATCCAACATTTTGAGGATAAAATCAATCATATAACCACTGTGTTGTAGAATTCAGAAGTTCTGAAATCATCAAATAAACTAAAAATTAATATTCTGAAAAAGGTATACTATTGCATGTGTGCTAATATTTTTGCACATATTTGATGAATCAGCTATCTCTAAATTTCTATAGTTTACCAAAAAAAAAATATTGACAATGAAGTCAGCAAATAAGAAATGTCTGATTTCTCCAACTTTGATGCAATGAAGCTGAGGAGCATCGGTTTGAAGTTACAGATACAAGCAAAGCATTCTGGAGTTCTGTGCTTGCACCTCGGCTAAGTAGTGACACGATGTACTTCATGAAGACTGCATCACACGGTAATGTAATAGGTCCATCACTTGGAAGTCCAAATTCTTCTTCCGACATTTCCAACAGTTGTCTGATGATTTTGTTGTCAAGAAAAGATAGGGGAATAACAAACCGCTTTTGATCAGCTGTGTAGATTACAAAATGGCCTTTGCTAACTGGCGTACTGCAGCTATCTACTTCCTCAGTCTGTTTTGAAAATGATATTCTTTTCCTTCTGATCATCACAAATTTCTGCCATTTCTTTGCCATGTTGATGAGTTTCTTGGAACTGATCATAGTGACTACTTCAGTAGATTGAGAGAAAAGAAGAGATGAGATTTTGTAGAGAGATTTTAAAGTATGGGATGAATTGATAGTGTTTGATGATGAAAATTCATACATATATACATACTTATATTAAGGTGGCTGGATAAGATTTTATTTTGAGGATAGAATTTGTTGTTGAAAATCAGGGAAGGCATACCCATATGCTACATATGGATATGGGCCCTTTATGTTGTGTACCGACCGATATATAGTTGTGATAGATATTCAATGTATATACTTGTTATTGGTTCTGCAATTATGGCTTCTGCTGAAGACATGATGGAGGGGAATGTGTCAAAAGCTGCAAATGAATTTGTGAACATCTTACTGATATTTCAAGAGACTTGTCTGTTGTTTGGCACATAGAGAAAAAAAGTTGAAAATGAAAAAAACTATGGCAAGTTGGCATGAAATTAAAGTCATTTAAGCCAACCTTTGTGTGTTTTAGGGCAAAGTTGGTCCAGTTCATACAAACCACAGAACATGCTGCAACCTGTACACCGGACTAATGAGTGGATATGACTAATTCTGATCTGATCTGAGATAATAATTCTGCTATTTGGTGCAACAACTTAAAGGGCCCTATAGTAATCTGTGCTTCCACATCTATACAATGACTTGTATGGAACTAATAGCCATCTTATCACAACACAAATGGCCCATATCACCTGCTTGCACATGCTTCTGCATCCTTTATTTCCAGAATGAAGTGAATATAAATAAATCACTTCTTTATGCATTTAGTTCATCATCAACCTCTACCACTTCATCCCCTAACTTCAAAGTCTCTCTCTAGTATACCATAATCACACTTTTTTCTCTCTGCCATATCAGCAAAACACCATGATCAGTTCCAAGAAACTCGTCCAGCTGACTAAGAGATGGCAGAAATTTGTCGCCATTAGAAGGAAGAGAATTTCGTTTCCTAGGCACAACGATGCAGAAAGTTGTAGTGTATCATCTGCGGTTAGCAAAGGTCACTTTGCTATCTACACGGCTGATCAACAGCGGTTTGTTGTTCCCCTAGTTTTTCTTGACAACGAAATTATCAGACAACTTTTAGTAATGTCTGAAGAGGAATTTGGACTTCCAAGTGATGGTCCTATTACATTACCATGTGATGCAGTCTTCATGGAGTATATTATTTCGCTTATTAGCCAAGGTGTAGGCAAAGAACTCCAGACTGCTTTGCTCGCATCAGTTACTTCGAATCGGTGCTCCTCAACCTCAATGCATCAAGGGTGGAGAGATCAGCAATTTCTTGTCTGCTGATGTGTCTGACAAACTTTTTTTTTTTTTTTTTTTTTTTTTTTTGTTTCAAAGATGACATGAAACTTAGTTGTAGATTAGTTCATAGTGATTGCAGAAAATCATAGCTGAATACATTAGTGTAATTTTTATAGAAATTAATTCATTACAGAACTTTCAAAATTTCAGTCTCCATGATTACTAGTGATTTTCATGACTGAAAAACCAAATAGTTGCAGATAAGAAGTTAGTGAAATGTGATTCTATTATTCAATATGGTGAATACTTTCAACAGCTCAAATGAATATCTAAACATCTTAATTACTGCTATATCTGCTAATGTTCATACCTCACGCCACAAAAGAATACGTTTAGGTGTTGAGTCTTGAAACTAGATTGACTTAATTTACCTACTTATTAGTTTGGAACGAATGTATGTGGTTCAGGATACAATTGAGTGAACGAAGTCAGAAAATCAGGGTTATCAAAATAAATAAATAACTAAACGAAATTAACAAGAAAGTATGGTGAAATTGCAACTATCATGATTATCAACTTTTATCTCAAGAAAATGTAAAACTTGCATTGTAACTGTATGAAATTAATGTTTAAAATCTAGGAATGTCTGATCCACTCTTGGGTGTTAAAATTTTTACTTGTGAGGAATTGACAGAAATGAGAAAGTTTAATTTTGAATATTATGGACAGTTTTAAAACCCCCTTTGTGAAATATAATGCGATTTATGTGTTTGATCAAATAAAAAACACTTGTCATATGTTTTTCATATTTTCCCTAAACCTATTTTTGACATTGAAAAACAAAAAATTCAAATGCATATGGCATATATTTGTAATTTGTCCAACTTTTAAAAGTCACTCATTTTTTCCACAATATCATAAACTTTCTCATTTAAAGTCATCCAATTTTGTCCAACTTTTAAAATACTTTCTTTTCCTTTAATATTTTTCCTCCTGACCTGACTTCTATTCATTGGGTGCCATAAATTAATTGATCACATCACTAAGGTTGTCCTCATTTCTGAATGAGAAACTCTTTCAAGATGATGTGTAGGATGAGATGAATTTTTTATTTTTGTTTAGTTTTAATTTTTTATCCAATGTGACTTGAAAGCTTGCTAAGAAGTTTCAATCCAGCAAAAGACTCTCAGCCTTTTGATTAATTTTTTTTGTTTTGTTATTTTAATATTATTATTTTTGAATACATATTATTAAATTGTGATTTATGCACGTCATAAATATGTCAATTATCAATATTACCTCTGAATTATTAGTGGTGTAAATGTTGTCCCTCAATTTTCAAAACGTGACATATATTGCCCCTCCCCTGAATTATTAGTGATGTAAATGTGGTTACGCGTCGTCTTTCTTGTTCGAAGACCACGTTTTTTTGCTCAATTTTTCTTTCTTCGCTTGTTCTCCTTCCGCCGACAATAATTTTTCTCCTTCTACATATTAGGAGAGGTGCAATATATGTCACGTTTTGAAAATTGAGGGGCTGCATTTACACCACTGATAATTTAGGGGTGACATTGATAATTGATATATTTGTGAGGGGCATAAATTACAATTTTCTCTATTATTTTATTATTATATTTATAATATAATATAATATGAAAGTAAGATAATTTTTGAAAGTAAGAGAGTATTGTAAGGATATAGAGAAAATAGTGGAAAAATAATAAATTTGATGATGTGAAAGTAAGACCCATTTTTGAAAGTGAGAGAGTATTGTAGGGATAAGAATAATCTAATTAAAAATAGAATTTAGTTACTAATTAGATTCTGTCACGTCATGAATGATGAATTAAAAAGGAAATTCCTGCCCTAAATTTTTTACTTGTTCAGGTGCATCAAATTAAATTACTCCCTACGGCCTATACCATTGAATATTTTGTTCAAACACTCCAACATCTATTTTTTCACATTTGTGTCTATTGACCCAACCTTGAGGATTCCAAATATTGAATAACATAAGGATCTTGGCATCTTTGGATCAAGGAATTTTGTTCTACCAAAAGTATAAAGATAGGTCTTATGAGTATTTTCTTTGTAAGCCAAGCACCAGACAAAGTGTTAGTTGTGTTGCCTAGCCCGAAGGGGCAAAGAAGGTTCTTCGAACTAGCTAGTTGCTTTGATGATTCTTAAATCAAATGTTCTTCACTACAAAATAATCAAATACTCAGATGCCCGTCATTCTTAAGTTTCTTTATATTTTATAGTATTATTACAAATATAACTTATAGTATATATGCATTATATTATATTTCTTGTTATATGATTCTAGTAATGCTAAATTCATGATTTGATAATTTTTCAATTTTCAGGGCACCTGACAAAAGAAACTACATATGTGAGATTTTCGATTCAAAAATTTGATCCTGGTGACAGTCGGAAAGCCTCATAACGGAACAATAATTCACAATTTTCGACTATCAACCATCTGTTTGTATAAGTGGCGTAGTACGTGTAGGAAGAATTCTAGAGAATCAGAAGTTTTGAAAGCTTCAAATGGACTAAAAATTGATTTCCTGAAAAGGATATACTATTACATATGTGGGCCTAACATTTTTGCACCCATTTGACCGGATGAATCACCTATCTCTAACTTTCTATCATTTACAGATAAATATTGACAATGAAGTCAGCAAATAAGAAATGGCTGATTTCTCCATCCTTGATGCAATGGAGCTGAGCATCGGTTTGAAGCTACTGATACAAGCAAAGCATTCTGGAGTTGTGTGCTTACACCTCGGCTAAGTAGCGAAATGATGTACTTCATGAACACTGCATCACAGGGTAATGTAATAGGTCCATCACTTGGAAGTCCAAATTCTTCTTCTGACATTTCCAACAGTTGGCTGATGATTTTGTTGTCAAGAAAAGATAGGGGAATAACAAATCGCTTTTGATCAGCTGTGTAGATTACAAAATGGCCTTTGCTAACTAGCGTACTGCAGCTATCTACTTCCTCAGTCTGTTTTGAAAATGATATTCTTTTCCTTCTGATCATCACAAATTTCTGCCATTTCTTTGCCATGATGATGAGTTTCTTGGAACTGATCATAGTGACTACTTCAGTAGATTGAGGGAAAAGAAGAGATGAGATTTTGTAGAGACTTAAAGTATGGGATGAATTGATAGTGTTTGATGATGAAAATTCATACATATATACATACTTATATTAAGGTGGCTGGATAAGATTTTATTTTGAGGATAGAATTTGTTGTTGAAAATCAGGGAAGGCATACCCATATGCTACATATGGATATGGGCCCTTTATGTTGTGTACCGACCGATATATAGTTGTGATAGATATTCAATGTATATACTTGTTATTGGTTCTGCAATTATGGCTTCTGCTGAAGACATGATGGAGGGGAATGTGTCAAAAGCTGCAAATGAATTTGTGAACATCTTACTGATATTTCAAGAGACTTGTCTGTTGTTTGGCACATAGAGAAAAAAAGTTGAAAATGAAAAAAACTATGGCAAGTTGGCATGAAATTAAAGTCATTTAAGCCAACCTTTGTGTGTTTTAGGGCAAAGTTGGTCCAGTTCATACAAACCACAGAACATGCTGCAACCTGTACACCGGACTAATGAGTGGATATGACTAATTCTGATCTGATCTGAGATAATAATTCTGCTATTTGGTGCAACAACTTAAAGGGCCCTATAGTAATCTGTGCTTCCACATCTATACAATGACTTGTATGGAACTAATAGCCATCTTATCACAACACAAATGGCCCATATCACCTGCTTGCACATGCTTCTGCATCCTTTATTTCCAGAATGAAGTGAATATAAATAAATCACTTCTTTATGCATTTAGTTCATCATCAACCTCTACCACTTCATCCCCTAACTTCAAAGTCTCTCTCTAGTATACCATAATCACACTTTTTTCTCTCTGCCATATCAGCAAAACACCATGATCAGTTCCAAGAAACTCGTCCAGCTGACTAAGAGATGGCAGAAATTTGTCGCCATTAGAAGGAAGAGAATTTCGTTTCCTAGGCACAACGATGCAGAAAGTTGTAGTGTATCATCTGCGGTTAGCAAAGGTCACTTTGCTATCTACACGGCTGATCAACAGCGGTTTGTTGTTCCCCTAGTTTTTCTTGACAACGAAATTATCAGACAACTTTTAGTAATGTCTGAAGAGGAATTTGGACTTCCAAGTGATGGTCCTATTACATTACCATGTGATGCAGTCTTCATGGAGTATATTATTTCGCTTATTAGCCAAGGTGTAGGCAAAGAACTCCAGACTGCTTTGCTCGCATCAGTTACTTCGAATCGGTGCTCCTCAACCTCAATGCATCAAGGGTGGAGAGATCAGCAATTTCTTGTCTGCTGATGTGTCTGACAAACTTTTTTTTTTTTTTTTTTTTTTTTTTTTTGTTTCAAAGATGACATGAAACTTAGTTGTAGATTAGTTCATAGTGATTGCAGAAAATCATAGCTGAGTATATTAGTGTAATTTTTATAGAAATTAATTCATTACAGAACTTTCAAAATTTCAGTCTCCATGATTACTAGTGATTTTCATGACTGAAAAACCAAATAGTTGCAGATAAGAAGTTAGTGAAATGTGATTCTATTATTCAATATGGTGAATACTTTCAACAGCTCAAATGAATATCTAAACATCTAAATTACTGCTATATCTGCTAATGTTCATACCTCACGCCACAAAAGTATACGTTTAGGTGTTGAGTCTTGAAACTAGATTGACTTAATTTACCTACTTATTAGTTTGGAACGAGTGTATGTGGTTCAGGATACAATTGAGTGAACGAAGTCAGAAAATCAGGGTTCTCAAAATAAATAAATAACTAAACGAAATTAATTTAACAAGAAAGTATGGTGAAGTTGCAACTTTCATGATTATCAACTTTTATCTCAAGAAAATGTAAAACTTGCACTGTAACTGTATGAAATTAATGTTTAAAATCTAGGAATGTCTGATCCACTCCGGGTGTTAAAATTTTTACTTGTGAGGAAATGACAGAAATGAGAAAGTTTAATTTTGAATAGGAATAAGGGTCAAATAGGCCATTGAACTGCACACAATAATGCAATTAGGCCACTGAACCAAAAAAAACAACAATTAGGCCACTAAACTAAGCAATTTCATTCAATTATTCTAATTTACAGGTTTTGTAGGTTATTAACAGGTCACCCAAACAATTTAAATATTTTTAAAAAAATTATTATTTAAAAATAATAAATTAAAAAAAAAAAAAAAAAAACTCGTCTCTGCCGGAGACGAAGAACCCATGGCCGGAGACGAAGAGTTTCTTCGTCTCCGGCCATGGAGATGAGGAAACTTTCTTCGTCCATGGCCGGAGACAAGAAACTCGTCTCCGGCGGAGATGGTTAATGTTTTTTTTTTTTTTTTTTTTAAATTTAATTTATTATTTTTAAATAATAATCTTTTTAAAAATATTTTAAATTATTTGGGTGACCTGTTAGTAACATACAAAACCTGTAAATTAGAATAATTGAATGAAATTGCTTAGTTTAGTGGCCTAATTGTTGTTTTTTTTAGTTCAGTGGCCTAATTGCATTATTGTGTGCAGTTCGATGGCCTATTTGACCCTTATTCCTTTTGAATATTATGGACAGTTTAAAACTCCCTTTGTGAAATATAATGCGATTTATGTGTTTGATCAAATCAAAAACACTTGTCATATGTTTTTAATATTTTCCCTAAACCTATTTTTGACATTGAAAAACAAAATTTTCAAATGCATATGGCATATATTTGTAATTTGTCCAACTTTTAAAAGTCACTCATTTTTTCCACAATATCATAAACTTTCTCATTTAAAGTCATCCACTTTTGTCCAACTTTTAAAATAATTTCTTTTCTTCTAATATTTTTCCTCTTGACCTGACTTCTATTTATTGGGTGCCATAAATTAATTGATCACATCACTAAGGTTGTCCTCATTTTTGAATGAGCTAGGAACTCTTTCAAAATAATGTGTATGATAATGTGAATTTTTTATTTTTATTTAGTTTTAATTTTTTATCCAAGCACCAGACAAAGTGTTAGTTGTGTTGCCTAGCCCGAAGGGGCAAAGAAGGTTCTTAGAACTAGTTGCTTTGATGATTCTTAAATCAAATGCTCTTCACTACAAAATAATCAAATACTCAGATGACCGTCATTCCTAAGTTTCTTTATATTTTATAGTATTATTAGCAATATATAACTTATAGTATATATGCATTATATTATATTTCTTGCTATATGATTCTAGTAATGCTAAATTCATGTTTTGATTAATTTTCAATTTTCAGGGCACCTGACAAAAGAAACTACATATGTGAGATTTTCGATTCAAAAATGTGATCATGGAGACAGTCGGAAAGCCTCATAACGGAACAATAATTCACAATTTTCGACTATCAACCATCTGTTTGTATAGGTGGCGTAGTACGTGTAGGAAGAATTCTAGAGAATCAGAAGTTTTGAAAGCTTCAAATAAACTAAAAATTGATTTTCTGCAAAGGATATACTATTACATATGTGGGCCTAACATTTTTCCACCCATTTGATCTCTTGAATCAGCTATCTCTAAGTTCCTATCATTTACAGATAAATATTGACAGTGAAGTCAGCAAATAAGAAATGGCTGATTTCTCCATCCTTGATGCAATGGAGCTGAGCATCGGTTTGAAGCTACTGATACAAGCAAAGCATTCTGGAGTTGTGTGCTTACACCTCGGCTAAGTAGCGAAATGATGTACTTCATGAACACTGCATCACACGGTAAAGTAATAGGTCCATCACTTGGAAGCCCAAATTCTTCTTCTGACATTTCCAACATTTGTCTAATGATTTTGTTGTCAAGAAAAGATAGGGGAATAACGAACCGCTTTTGGTCAGCTGTGTAGATAACAAAATGGCCTGCCAATGATGTACTGCAACTATCTACTTCCTCATCCGGTTTTGGAAACGATATCGTTTTCCTTCTGATCATGACAAATTTCTGCCATTTCTTCGCCATGTTGATGAGTTTCTTGGAACTGATCATAGTGGCGGCTTCAGGAGATCGAGAGAAAAGAAGAGATATGAGATGAATTGCTAGTGTTTGATTATGAAACTCATATGCAAGTGATGTATATATTTATATGGAGGATGTCCAAGACAGACTTTTCTGTGGAGGATAGAATTTCTTGTTAACAAATCAGGGAATTGAAGGCATACCCATATGCTACTTAGGGAAATGGGGCCTTTATGTTGTGTACCAACCGATATATATAGTTGTGATATATATTCAATGTATCAACTTGATTGGTCCTGAAATGAAGGCTTCTGCAGAACACACTGAAGGGAAATGTGTCAAAAGCTGCATATGAATTTGTGAACATCTTACTGATATTTCTGGAGACTTGTCTGTGGTTTGGCAGATAGAGAAAACAAAATTGAAAATAAAAAAACTAATGATGAATTAAGTTTTACCAAAAAAAAAATAATAATAAAAAAAAAAGAAAAAACTATGGCAAGTAGGCATGCATTTAAGCCAACCTTTGTGTGATTTGGTGTTAATGAGCGAAATTGGTCCAGTTCATACAAACCACACAACATATCTCATCACAACACAAATGGCCCATTTCACCTGTTTGCACATGCTTCTGCATCCTTTATTTCCAGAATGAAATGAATATAAATAAATCACTTCTTTATGCATTTTAGTTCATCATCATTCATCAATCTCTAGCACTTCACACCTAACTTCAAAGTCTCTCTCTAGTATACCATAATCGCTCTTTTTTCTCTCTACCATATCTACAAAGATAAATACCATGATCAGTTCCAAGAAACTCATCCAGCTGACTAAGAGATGGCAGAAATTTGTCGCCATTAGAAGGAAGAGAATTTCGTTTCCTAGGCAAAACGATGCAGAAAGTCGTAGTGTATCATCTGCAGTTAGCAAAGGTCACTTTGCTATCTACACGGCTGATCAACGGCGGTTTGTTGTTCCCCTAGTTTTTCTTGACAACGAAATTATCAGACAACTTTTAGTAATGTCTGAAGAGGAATTTGGACTTCCAAGTGATGGTCCTATTACATTACCATGTGATGCAGTCTTCATGGAGTATATTATTTCGCTTCTTAGCCATGGCGTAGGCAAAGAACTCCAGACTGCTTTGCTTGCATCAGTTACTTCAAATCGGTGCTCCTCAACCTCAATGCATCAAGGGTTGAGAGATCAGCAATTTCTTGTCTGTTGATGTGTCTGTCAACATTTTTTTTTTTGGTTTCAAAGATGACATGAAACTTAGTTGTAGGTTAGATCATTGCGATTTCAGAAAATCATAGCTGATACATTATATATAGTGTAATTTTTATAGAAATTAATTCATTACAGAACTTTCAAAATTTCAGTCTCCATGACTAAAAAAACAAATAGTATTAGATAAAAAAATTAGTGAAATGTGATTCTATTATTTACTATGGTGAATACTTTCAAGTTGATGATCAAAATGCATATGCAGTATGTACTGCTTAAAATTTGCTGAAACTCTCAACAGAGCCATATCCTGTATGGTCATCCGGCCTTTAACACATTCCATCATGTCTTTCCATTTTTATAACATGATTATAGTGGATTCCTAGTTGATTCATTTCTGCAATGTCAATTGTGAATCTGATGCTTACATTTTTTTTTTGGGTGAATAATCTGATGCTTACATAAGAATTGTATGACTGCCAATATTTTTCCTCCTGACGTGGCTTCCATTCATTGGGTGCCATAAATTAATTGACCACACATGGCTAATTAAAAATAAAATTTAGTTACCAATTAAATTTTGTCACGTCATGAGTGATGGATTGAAAAGAAAAAATATTAGACGTCTCTAGCATTACTCTTACCCATTTTCATTAGTCATGTTAGAACACTACTGGAAATGTTTAATTTTCCGACCACCCTACAAAACAATCAAAAAAGTGACTTTTATCAAATTTTCATTGAATGATTGTGGTGGTCGAAAATACTGACCACTAAATATAGGTAGACGGAAAGTTTTTAGGTGGTTCGAATTTTTTAAATTGATTTTTCTTTTCCGACCACCTTTGATATAAAAAGAAGAAAGAAAAAAGAAGCTCAAGTTCACTCAACACTCTTCATGCTACTCAACATTCTTCCAGCATGCAACTTCGCTCACCAAATTCGTCATCGTTTAGTGATGTTTTCTATACAACTTAGTGAAATTTGATGAGTGGCTCAAGATTTGAATATGAAACTTGCCAAGTGAAATGTATTATGAATTATGAACAAGAATGGAGAACAGTGTAATGCCAAAAAAAAAAAAAAATTACTTAATTATTTTTCGACGACCAATGGTCGGAAAATACGCAATGCAAACTTTCTTGCCCTGACCAAAATTTGAAATAGTAAGGAAGATTTTTCCAGGTTCCAAGAGTGATCGAAACACGAGTTTTTGACCAGATTTAAGCTATTTCCAATCACTGATCAGAATTCCTTGATTTCCATCCAATTTCTCTTGAAATTGATAAGAGAACACTTTGATCACAATAATGCCTTCAATTTTTATTTTTATTTTATTATTTTCCTTACTGATCAACAACTAATAAAGGTATTCAAATAAAATCTACTAAGATATAAATTGATGTAAAATTACCTTGATTGCTTTACAAACTCCATATACCTTTTTATTACCGAGTGTAAATACAAAATTAAACAAAATTTATGTATTTACATTATTATAATCAGAAAAATATTATATTAAATAAATATATTAAGTCAAGACCTTGTTGTCTAATGACACTAAGGTTGCACTTCCACATGAGAGGTTGTGGGTTAGAGCCTTAGTGGAGGCGACATTGACTTTGTGTACAACTTTAGTAGGTTTAAAAAGTTAAAGAGCATATACTTCATTGTAATAGAGTCAATAACATTTAAAATAAATAAATATATTAAAAATAGTATTAGAAGATATACAACTCTTCTAGTGAAATGTCAATCAACTATATATGGTGCCGCATGCTGCCATGCATGCATGGAGCAGCCTTTTCTGTAATTTGTAAGCTTACATTACACTTAAGCAACTATAAATAAATTAAAAAAAAAAAAAATCATTTGGCATGCCAAATCATCTTGTAAAGGCCTCCCTTTCAAGGATAGAATAGCCTTAGTCGTAGAATATCTATCATTTAATGACTTCATTTAATTTGTAACAATTAGAGTCGTCAAAACGGGTTTAACCCGCTGGACTGCTAGTCCATTCTAAGCACCCCGCCTTTTTTTGAATTTTATGTCCTTTATTTTAACGGACTTTTTAGTCCTTCCGCAAAAATGCCGGGCTGGCAAGAGCCCGCCAAGCCCTCTTAGTATGTATACATTATTAGTATTATTGTATATATATACATCATTTTATATAATTTTATATATAAATATATGTTAATTTATTTATTAATATTGAAAAAATGTATTATTAAGTAGTACATTGTATAAATTATTTTTTATTGCCTTATAGATCCACATATTACGTATTTGATTATTTATTAGGACTTATTACTATATTAGTTATTATTGTGTTCGACAAATTACAAATGTATTAATATATGTTTAAACTATTCAAATTATTTTGGTATACACTTATTAAATTAATTTTTATTTAAATTTTAAACATTTTAAAATTGGCGGGCCCCGCCAAAGCCCGTGGGATGACATGTTTTAGGCCCGTATTTTGGCGGGCTCGGGCAGGTCCCGTGCCGCTAACCCGTTTCGACAACTCTAGTAACAATTGATGTTACTTCAATTGTTATACTATGGAGGTGGACTCGCCCTAGTCCCAAACGATATTCAGATTATATACCTGTTAACATATTATGTATAAGTTTTTTTAAAAAAATATATATATTATGTATAAGTTAATAAATTATACATGTATCTATTGCGATTACCTGCAATTAATAAGTTATATACATATTATAATGAATGTATTATGTACAATACAGTTAATATATTATGTACTTTTAATTGCTAATTTTGTGGCTAGTTATACTGTGTCACATCAACTGTTTTGTTGAGAGAAATTAACTTCTTAATGATTTAGTAGGTAATATTTGAAAGAAGAAGAGAGAAATTAACTTCCTAATCTTAACCAAATCCTTGGAACAATAATAGAAATTAATTCCCAAAATAGTTTCATATTTCTAAAATTGAACATAACTATCATCCTACATTTTTCAATTTACCCTTTTGACTTTTTAAATTTTTAGAGGTAAGTGCAATTGTACTTTGTACAAACAACACCTACTTTTAAGGGACAAAATTGAAAAGTTAGTAACATTTGTTATTTTGTATTAAAAACCGTGCAAAAAGCAAGTAAGACAATCAATTAGGGACGAAGGGAGTATATTATTTTAGGAATTTAGGAGTATTGTCGTATGGACTAGTTTTAATTGTAAATTTAGTCATATACTTTGTCATGAATTGTCATATAGACTGTATACTGTGAAGTTGAAACACCATTTAAATTAGACATTAGATTGTGAAACCATTGAAATTATACATTTATACTGTGGAATCATTGAAATTAAATTATCTTGTGAAACCATTGAAATTAAATTATACTGTGAAATCATTTAAATTATATTGTAAGTGGATTGCGAATATATTATTGAATCATTTGAATGTTTATTTGTTGGTGTATAGATTGTATACTGTGAATAGGGATGGCAACGGGGCAGGGCGGGGCGGGGAGTATATTCCACGTCCCCGTTCCCGCGACCCCGTCCCTGGCGGAAAATTGAAAATATTCCCCATCCATATCCCTACAGGGAATTAGACGAGGACAGGGATTCTCCATTCCCCATTAACTTCTAGTCAAAATTAAATGTTAAATAATTTTAATTTTTAATAATAAAAAATTTAAAATCTAAGTCTTAGTTTCAAAAACTAAAATACTAACTCTACAAATAAATAAATAAATAAAAATATAAATATATAAATATATAAATATATATATATATATATATATATATATATATATATATATATATATATATATATATATATATATATATTTATTTATTTATTTATTTATTATTTGGGGACGGAGCGGGCTGGGGAGGGGTATCTCCGTCCTTGTCCCCGTTCTCGTTCTCCGAAAATTTTCTCCATCCCCGTCTCTTTCAGGGCGGGGATCAGAGATCCCCGTCGGGGACGGGGCACATTGTCATTTTAACTGTGAAAGCATTTAAATTATTTAATCATATAATTGTTGGGTATTAGGACTTATTTCAGTTTTTCTTTTCTTT